TTGTCTTTATTTGGAACTAAACTTATAGAATTTGGTTGTTTTATGCATCTTGTTGACATTTACTATTTTGGTATTGATTTTTTTAAGGTAATTTATGCACTATATATATAATTTTTACTTATTTATCAAGGTGCGCCTCGCTTCAATCGGGCGTCACCTTTGTATCGCCTCTCGCCTCAAGGCGATCAAAGGACTCGTCGCCTTGCGGTGTGCCTTGCGCCTCGAAAACACTGGCAACAACAAACCTAGATATATAACTTTTTGGAGGAAGAGAACTCTAAGTCATTCTTAAATTATAACAACTTTTCCTTTCTGCACAAACAGAAAATAAAATACCAAGATAGTCTTTTCAAGTATTCATTTCTAACGAAATTCCTTTTTCACTTTTGTCATGCTTGATGAAATTTGTTGCTCAAAATTTTATATACTAGCATATACATTCATTTTTAAAAGTAACATGTGTTATCCCAGAAGGCTAGCAAAAGAATGTTCGAACAGAAGGTATGATGGATTACCGGAAGTCAGATCTCCAGTTTCCTTGAAGGTAGAAATAAACTGATCTAGTGATCCAAAGACTGAAGGCATGCAGAAATGCAATAAAGCCCAAAGTTCACTGAGATTGTTCTGAATAGGAGTTCCAGTCATCAATAACCGCCTTGGGATAAGAAAACGCTCTTTAAGTACATTGTAGAGAACCTGTTTCCACATAATATTAAACATCTATGCATCTATGCAATAAGAACTGCAAAAGAGAGAACACTTTTGCAATCAGCTAATAATTTCAAACTCAAGGTAACTAGCTACGTAAAATAGTCTGATATCTAAGTCCTGTTTGTAATCTAACAAAATGAGAGAGGTTTGAGAGAAAACCCTCAATGATATTTCATTTACTAGAGTCATACGCATGGAAATCCCTACCGAATAGAATTTAAATTTACAAAAAGGACAATTCACTGATGGGTCCCAATATTTACATGATAAAATAATTTACATGCTATAACGGTCCCTGTTAAGCATGAGCATGTTAATCATACACAGCACGGCTTATTTTAAAATGATAAAGATATGTCTCCATTACTTCGGAATATTTACATATCCCGTGGATACTTAACCTTGTATTTTTTTCATGAACCAAATGACAATCAGCTTCCTTACGATTTTTCACACATGAATTATTGGATTGGATACAATATGAAGACAGCTTGATTGTCACTTCATAAATTTGATCAGAATGATGAATCTGAAACCTAACTCAATTAAAAATTATGTATCCACATTACTGCACATACAAACTATGTCACTACTCTACATTCTAATTCACCGCTGAGTGAGAGACCGCATTCTAATTATTACTTTTCCATGAAATCAAATCAACTCTGACAAATATACAATAACTTGATGTTGATCTTGTATCTTTCTTAGATCCTACCCACTCAACATCTAAAAACACTCAATTTAAGTATTGCCAGTCTTTATAAGATTCCACATTCAGGTGCAACTTCAAATAACACAAAATTTGTTAAACCGCAGTTCATCAAAATTAGCTAATTCATCAAAACAATTAGCCATATTCTACTTTTCCATGTAAGAACTCCAGTTCTTACAACTGGGGATATATTATCTTTTATCTGTTCTTCTGTCATATAGTATGAAGTACTTCTATGTAACGACTGTTTTTGTCCCCTTGTATTCTTTTGGGCCTAGATTTTACATAGCCAGCCTTTTCAAATTGTAAATCCCCTTCATAATATTCTTTCCTTGATTCTTTAACATAACTCCTCTTCCAAATTAGGGATAGTATATGTTCGTGAGTAAAGGAGGGGGCATATTATGCCTTTACGTACGCTTAAAGGGTTTTTAAGTCTCTGTGCTTCATCAATGACAGCATATTGCCAGGGTATCTGAGAGAGGAAATCCTGATCCATCAATGCTATGTCATATGTTGTCAACAGAACGTCAAAAGGGAATAAGACCTGTCAATATCTCCAATTACTTAACACGTCAAAAAGACAAAAACTGAACATCTTAATTTCAAATAACCTCATCTTCGAGGAGAAAATGCATATAATGTCATCAAACTCACATCAGATACTGAATGTGCTGTTGCATGCTCAAAAATACATCTGCGAGCATTTCGTCTAGTTTCTTTATCTCCAACATATTGAAGAACATGTAGACATGGAGCAAATCTGACAATCTCTGATAGCCAACCATCTGTCACGCTTAAAGGACATAATACCACTGTGGAAAATCATGAAACAAAAAGCATATAAATCCAAACCTGTGAAGAAGTAACTGATCCAAGGTTTTAAAAATCAATAAAATACTATAAAATAGAAATATGTACTGAACTCACAAAATGGGGTAGGTGATATCTGATGGACCTTCAAATAACTCAGAAAAGAAATAGCTTGCAAGGTCTTGCCCAACCCCATCTGTTCATAACTCATTTAAATTCGAAAGGTACATAGAATTAAAAAGGAACCAAATGAATAAAACTTTCAAGGATTAGAAAGGCAAAATCATTATTTTTTATTTAAATATTTTAATAAATAAGCCAAAACGACAAAAGAGAAAAAGGGAAAATATCAACAAATCCACCAGGCATTCAATTCTCTTCACTATTCCTTCACATAACATTTTATAGAATGTTTTCAGAAAAGGAAAAATGAACAGAAGTCCAGTTCCAACAGAAATTTCTCAATCAGTTTTCTTCATAACAGAAAACATATAAACAATATTACATATTGCTTGCTTTTGCCTTTAACTGAGCCTTCCTTTTGCTGAAGCCTTTGTTTTTTTTTTCTTTTTCCTTTCTAGGAATGGGTACAATTATAATATAATATCCAGAAAAATTATATATATATGCTTAAACATGTAATAGAGCAACTTTACTCTAAATATCCTCTTCCATTGACAGATTGTCAGGTTGTCATTGAAGAAAATGTGTTTATGCAAAATCATATATTTCATATAATGTTGTACTATATTATATCATCTATTTACGTGCATAATTTTCCCACGTTTGAACATCACCTCACTTAACTTAAATAGTATCTTTCGAGCATTTCGCACCTCCAAAAAAAATTTTTAAATGTATAAATTGCAAGCTGGGAATCGACCTTGCACATCCAAAGTGCCCAAGCACAATCCTAAATTTCAAGGATTACCCCCCAAAAAACGTTTATTTTCAAGCAAAAAGTGCATTGAGTGTAATGAAAACACACTCCAATCCTGTGAAGGTAGAGAAACCATACCTCATCACCTGGAAGAAAAAACAAAACAAAGGAAGTCATTATCAAAATGCACTTTCCAACCAAAATAACTCATAGACCGCATATAAATATTTGAAGGTCGACCCAGAAAAAAAATTTTAAAAATTACTGTATGAGATTGCTGGAAACATAACGAGAGGTTCATGCAAAGTAGAGTTTTCGATTTAACAAGTTGTCCCACTTTATATATAATTGAAATATTAAAGTGCTTTCTAAAATGTCTAAAAGAAGGCAAAAGATGGCGCCCAAAAAGCAAACATCCTAACAGAAAAAATATGGCAAGCATTAGCAAAGGAAAATATCTTGTTAACATGGATTGTGCAAATAATTTATACTATGTGGTCATCTTTTCAGTTAAAAATTTTTGAAACTAGAGCAGAATTTTAATGTTCCACCAAGACCCCAATTTCAAATGGGTTATTGATTTTGCAAAGTTACAAGAATCAATGAATAGTATAAGAAACGGATACACAAGCATGGATTATGAGCAAAGTATGCAGAAATTTTAGCAGCTAAGGCCTTAAACAGAATACATTTGAATGGAAGGTACTAAACTCACTAGAAATTTGCCCCAGCTAGCTTTAGCACTCAAAGACCACAATGGAGTTGTCAGATATTTTAACTAAACTCGAGATTTGCTTACGATTACTACAGAAAATTTTTAGTTTTAACATTGATTATCAAATGATGAATTACAAACTAAAGAGGCACAGTCAAAATTCTCGGATTATCAGTTGACTACTGGACTCGCAGCAAACTGTACAAATTACTATGATTTTTTCTTTCAGGAAAAAAAAATGAACAACATAGAGTAAATATGACCCTATGAAGGGAAATCTGTGGCAATCTCTACATTTCTGAAACAGAACTAGTTTCAAAGTCTACATAACAAAAGGAACCTATAAAATTACGGCTCTTCAGCTCATCTAGAATCTACAATCTCTAAATCCTGATTAACTTTCTTCTACAATGAATTTCTTTTTTATTTTTTGGCAGATTGAAGCCGAAAAAAGAATGAGATAGAAGTGTAACCAAGAATGACGTTGACGCCGAGAAGATATCGCCTGATAAGCCATAGAACTCCTTCGACTTGGTAGGGTTTCAGAGTCGCCGTAACTCCGAAGTCCGGGCAGGCTTCTGGCAAGTTATCGGTGCGAGAATCGTCGAGAAGTATGAGCTTCGCAGCGGCTCTGAGCCTTCTCTCGTAATCCATATCTCTCGCCAAAAGGAAGAGGAAACGTACCGATGAAGAATCAGCTCCGGCTTCAATGGCAGTACGACGGCGGCCGGCGGCCGGCGGCGGTGGGAGTTTCCGATTAAAGGTCGCGAGGAAGGATGAGGGAAGGACGCTTATGCACTCTTTTTCATTGAAAACACGTTGAGCGCCAATCTATACTTCTCGATTTGTTTCTTGATTTTCTAAAATTCCTAATTTGTTTCTTAATTTCGAATTTAAACACTTTTTTTAATCACATTTTAATACTTTTTTATTAAAATGAAAAAATAAAATAAAAATTAAGTAAAATACTTGTGAATGTTGAAACAATTTTTGGGAACCCGATCGGGAAAAGAAGAAGAATTTCACAAAACCGATCGGGCAGACCGTCAGAGGTTATGAAGGTCAGATCCGGATCAAATCTCCTTGAAACGTGTGATTAAAAGAAAATTATAAAACTCACGCCGGCGTGGTGTTGGACAACCACACTCCGATGCTTAAGTCAGTTAACGAACTTGACTATAGAGATAGGTAAGGAAATGTATTTAACTAATTCCACTTACCTTGAAGGGTTTGCTCCTCCCCCATATTTATACGGGAGGGTTGATTGCTAGATTCATAGGTTACGGTTGTGTTATGTTTTGGGCGCGCTATGGCGTTAGCCGCATTATTTTAGTGCGCGGCTGCACTGTAATGATCCTTCTTTGGTACATGGACTGCAGTATACGAGCCATAATTTTGGACTGCAGTATACGAGCTATAATTGTGCATAAATGTTTGGTATATGGGCTGCAATATATGAGCTATAATTGTGCCTAAGTATTTGCATTTCTTTCCTTGGCCCAACTTATCACAAAAAAATATTTTAGTGTTGCACAATGTTTCATTTCTTGGCCCGATCTTAGCACAAAAGATAGTGCATTCTTGATGTGAGTCCCAACACGAGCCCCCTCACCTCAAGTTCTAGGGCTCTTCTAATCCGAGGTGAAATCATTTTTGGTCTTCCCTTCCTCTTTTCCTTCTTGCCACCACCGACCATCTGTTATTTCTATTTTTTTTTTTTTGCGTTGAAACAAGCTATTGTGCACGTGCCTTCTACCTTCCGTGTTGCGCTATTTTTTGCGCCGCATGTCACGCACTACACTGTAAGTCTTTCCTTTCGAGTTGCTATATCTTTCAATCCACACAAACATTGTGACATTGTGAAGCTTCTTCGTTTTCTCCTTGATCGCACTATACCCCCCCTAGCTCTGTTTTCACCATATCTGCCTTGTTTTGCGCATGGGTTTGCTCAAGCTCGACTAATTTAGTGTTGCATAAATGGTTCCCGCCTCTATTTTTCGTTCTCTGGCCTTTTGTGCGGTGTTTGACTACTTTCTTCTGTCAGTTAAATTTTGGATGTTGCTCAATATCTCTGTTACTTACTTCACCTCTGCTTTCCCTGGTTGTGCTACCTTTACCTCTAATTTGGATGAATATTGAGTGAAGTATCTTTGTAGAGCTATCCTTAATTGTGAATTTGGGTGTAACTGTCGAACTGTGGTCCCTTATTTTAGGGTGCTTTGGGTGTGGGTATAAGAAGGTAATTTTTCCTTTTAATAGCTAAATTTTTGGACCGGTGAAGGACAGTGAAGAGCAACTTGAAGTTTGAAAGAATTGTGCACTTGGCTTTGTAAGGTAACCTTGATATTCTTTGATTTTTTACTTTTCAACATGTTTGGCCTAGATGGTGAGGATTGTAATATGTGGGATTATGAGCGGCTAAGTCCGTTGTACCATGAATTACGAGATTTAGGCTTGTCAACAGTAGATTCTCCATTTATGGAGAGGTTTCCATTTCTTGCTTCACTTCTTGATGATTTGATGAGGAATGGTTCCTTTGAATGTTCTGCTATAAATTTTGAAGATGTTAATAGCAACTGGATTTATAGTTTTGATAGGATGATTAACGGGCCTCCCGGTGTTGGGTCTTCTGGGGAAAGAGAGATACTGGAACCGATAGTTACTAATAGAGGGATGGATATAGTGCATGTATCTGGATGTGAATTGGTGCAGTATCAACGGGGATCCTTTCACGGATTGTGCAGGAAGACTTGGATTTTTATCGCTCTTAATATTGTATTCCAACATCAGATGAGAGTCCCTGAACCTCATGAGCGTATAACACATCCTCTTGAGGGAGAGACAACTTTATATACAAAAATGTTTGAGAACGGGGTGCGATCGCATCTCCATCCGTTTATCTAGCGTTTCTTATGCAAGCTCCAGGTAGCCCCGGCGCAGTTACCCCCAAACAGTTGGAACATGTTACTCGGTAGTTATATTGCCTGGAGGCGTTTTAAAAGAGGGGAAGAACTCGATATTTCTAATGTTTTACATGTGTTTACTCTAAGGGTAGCCTCATCCAGGGAGAATCTGTTCGTATATCTTTCAAGGAAGAAGGAGAGAAGACACTTGGATGAGAGAGAGAGTGAAGCTGGAATTGACCAAGGGGCTGAAGAGGAGGAAGTTGATCCTAGTCTCAGGATTATAGAAGGGTGGGAATCTCGAGGAGAGGTCCGTTCGAGGATATMCGTATGTCGTTCTCAGCAAATGGTTACCTGTCCTAGTTCTAACAGACATTGGAAAAAGTCTTGGTTTTTGGTGAGTGGGGATTGGCTCGTAAGTAGTGCGGGAAATTACGTGGTTCCTTCCAGATTCGGGACACTCGGTTAGTGTTTCCTCTTTCCCCTTTTTACATGTTTAACTAACATCTTGGTTTGCTTATTAACTTTATTTTTACTCAATTGGTATTTTCATTTATTTTTTATGGTGTGATTCTGAGTTTTGTGTGATTCTCTAGTGTCTGCTTGTGCTCCACTAGACCATGGGGTCATTTTTCTCAAGAGATCGTTATCTCTAGTAGGTAAGGAGGTTGACCTATTGTTCGAATCCAATCTGCGCAATATGGCTTGTCTCGATTGATCTCTCCCTCACATGAACTGGATGACGATTGGATCAACGCAGCGTCTATTGGTGACTCAGATAGTGATACAACAACACTTGAGGAACTTCTTTTTAGTAAGGAAACTTCGTATTCGGTTATGTCTTTATGTACCTTATCTTTGTATTCTTATGTCATTTCCATTCTATTTTTTAGGTTTTGAATGACCTACTCCTCATTCGTCGCCTGCCATCCAACCACCTATTAGTCGGGTGATGATAAATCCTCTCCAACGTTTTTGTGCGCAAAAGAGAAAAGCTGTTCAAGGAGATGCTTCGAGTATGGCTTCGGAGTCTCTCCAACGACATCGTTTGATAGAAGCCTCTTATTCGACTGAGCCATCAGATTCACCTTCTACTGTGATGGGTCCTCCATTACTTGCTTCTACCTAACTGAGGAGTGTTACTCCATCGGYCGGGCCTCCATTTGTCAGGGCTCCTGTTAGGATTGACTTTTTACTGTAGAAACATGTGTCGATAGTCCTATTTGACCACATTTTTGACCCATTTCCCATTATTATTTGCCAAAAAGGACCACATATTCTTAAAGTAGAACATACATAGATTATTTCTGCATAAAAGTCAAACTATGATACTTTAAGAAAAATATGAGATAAATGCGGTCAAAGTTGGAAGAAAATAACAGAATTCTGTTTTTTGCATAATTGCGCCCTGCGCATTTTTGGAGGGCAATTTGTCAAAACGCATGTTTTGATTAATGAAGGGCAAGGAGGACATTTCTCACATGTTCAAAACCGTGAGTCCAAGTCCAAGTGAGGTGGTTAGGTGAATCTCAACCATTTTCCACCTAAAATGGAGGGGAGTTTCAACCAACCTATGGTGCTATAAAAGGAAGTCATCCATCCCTC